TAGAGGGTTGCCAGCAACAGCACTAAATGATAAATATGTTCAGTGTCTCCGCTTATAGAGGATTGATGTATTTACACTTCTGACTGCTTGTGTTGTGGTTATTGCAAACATGATCCCTTGTATAAAGGTGTCAGTTGTTGTACCAGTTGAAAGGGTAAAAACCTATTACTATATTTTGCCACTGGTAAAGGAGGTCTTATAGTGTAAATGCTTACCCCGAGCTCTCAATACTCTGATAGTGCGCTGTTTTTGAGTTGTACGCCTTTTAGCGTCATCTGGTCCAACACCAATGAAGACTAGGCTCTAAGAAAAGCTGTCTCGGGTGTGGACCAATCAACTTCAAGGACAGTGAATATCATTATCATTATCAGAGTTGTTTCTTTTTGTTTGCATTTTGACTGCTTGTGTTGTGGTTATTGCAAACATGATCCCTTGTATAAAGGTGTCAGTTTTTGTACCAGTTGAAAGGGGAAAAACCTATTACTATAGGATTGATGTACTTTAGCGGGAGGGTTACAGGGGGGCCCTTGGGCAACTAACTTCCCAGTTAAAATGAAACTCAAGAAAGATCTGGAATGTTGAAGTCTCGCAGGGTTAAGGGGCCAAACGCCTACTCCCGCGTCCTATTGAGCATCACGTAGGCTGTGGCTGACACTTGGAAGAAAGTCACGAAAAAGGAGAGATTGGCAGAATACCAAGGGGGGGTGGGGGGGGGTGCACATTCTAGGGTTTGGCGTTTGTCTTGCAACTCGGGTTCTGCCCGCCCTGTCTCACAATTGCAGTAACGAAGAAAAGTTGGCTTTGGGTTGAACAAACAACAACAACACATTCTAGATTTGAAGCTTTCGTGACTGCAAGGATTCACGTAGGTAGAAAAAAATGTAATTAAAATACGTTCCATTAATTGGTTACCACATTCTGATAAGCCCCCCCTCTCCTCCCCCTTAACTTGTATTTAAGAACTTGCATCTTGGAATCCCTGCCTCACTTGATACAGCAAATCTGTCTTGTGGTTGTTGTTGTTTGACTTGCATCCCACTGGGATTTTTGCACACAGCGTTGGTATACGGTGCTTTTTCTGGAAGTTTTGTAGTTTTTTTCTTGGATGTTTCTGTTTGCGCGAAGTCACTTTAAGATGTTTTCTTGTTCATGTTTTGTTTGTTGCGGTTGCACCCGATTCAAGAGCCCAATGGCTCACAGGGCGATACCAAATACATGAAAACTGAAACTCCTCCACTCAGTCTGCGGTGCCAAGGCGCGGCACGGTCGGGAACGGTGTTGGGGGGGGGGGGGCGTTGGTGGGGGGGGGGGCGTTGGTGGGGGGGGGGGGCGTTGGTGGTGGGGGGCGTTGGTGGGGGGGGGCGTTGGTGGTGGGGGGGGGCGTTGGTGGGGGGGGCGGTGGTGGGGGGGTGGGGCGTTGGTGGGGGGGTGGGGCGTTGGTGGGGGGGTGTTGGTGGTGGGGGGGCGGTGGTGGGGGGGCGGCGGTGGTGGGGGGGCGGCGGTGGTGGGGGGGGTTCGTGGGGGGGGGGTGATGGGGGGGGCGGCGGTGGGGGCGGTTCGTGGGGGGGGGGGTGGTGGGGGGGGCGTTGGTGGGGGGGGGGCGGGCGGTTCGTGGGGGGGGGGGTGATGGGGGGGGCAGCAACTTGCCTGCAGTGCTTTGCTGGTGGGCGATGCGGAGTTGAGAGTTGTGGGTGGTTGTGGTTGGTTGTTGTTGTGGTGTTCTAGTTGGTTGTTGTGGTGTTGTAGTGGGTGGAGGGCGAGTGTTTGTAGTTGATTTGTAAGAGGGGAGCGGTGGTGTAGTGGTTAGCGCTACGAACCCGGCGACCCGATCTCGATTCCCGCTCACGGCCAACACCGGTGACGATTATCCGAACCGGTCCTGGGCCCATCCCCTAGGTCGACTCGGCCTCAAATGAGTACCTGGTGCGCTGTGTAAACATCGCCAGTGGGGAGACAAAGGCGGCCGGGCGTGGTGCTGCCCATGTATTGTTAGTTTTAATAGTTCATATTCTTAAGTCACGTAGGTAAACATCAAAATTAATAAAAATAAAATAAAGATCACGACGTTTCGGAGGCAACACGTCGTGATCTTTTATTTTTATTAATTTTGATGTTTTACCTACGTGACTTTACCGAAAAAAAAAACCTAAGAATATGAATCATTGCAGTCACGAAAGCTTCAAATCTAGAATTAGTTTTAATAGTTTTTGGTTCGTCATGTTTGTTGTAGTTCATTGTGGTTGTGACTGGGCAGTGTAAGGCAGCAGACAGCGCTTTATATAATAATAATCCCAATGGGTCCACGCCCTTGAACCCCCCTCACCCTCACGGCAACGCCAGCCATCCTGCCCGCCTTCCCTTAAACAAACAAACAAAATAACAACCCCCACACACACACGAGCGATAACATAGACGTGAAGCTGATCTTTTGTGCGGTTTGATGCAATATATGTCGTGTCTCTGGGCACGGAGGCCCCAGTGCGGGCGGGGGGGTTGATATTGCTGAGTGTTTTAGAATAGCCGTGAATCGATCCATCGATTCTTAATGTAATTATCGATTCTCAGGATATAACACGGATTGTGCGTGCAGGTGGAGGAATCGATCGTTTGCATTTCGATCCGCAATTCAACGGCTCGCTATGGCTCCTAATGAACGATTAAGAATAACGAAAGACGCTGAACCGATTACTGTGAATCGATTCGTCTGCAAAGGAACACGGCGGTTGGAGAGGGTGGGGGGATGGTGGGGGGGATGGTGGGGGGGGGATGGTGGGGGGGGGGATGGTGGGGGGGATGGTGGGGGGGGATGGTGGGGAGGGGATGGTGGGGGGGGATGGTGGGGGGGGGATGGTGGGGGGGGGGATGGTGGGGGGGGGATGGTGGGGTGGGGGGATGGTGGGGGGGTGGGGGCTAGCAGTGGGTGTGGTGAGGGAGGGAGGGGTGGCTTGAGGTGGGCGGGGCGAGTGGGTGTGGTCTCTAAGGGGGAGGGGTTTGGGTGGGTGTGGTGAGTGAGGGGCGGGGGGATTAGGGGGGTTGAGTGAAGGGGGGTGGTGGGGGGGGGGCATAGCGGTTCCTGTTCGCACGCTGCGCTACAAACCCGGCGGAGCAGAGTTCCAACTCACGGCCACCAACACCCAGTGACCATTATCTGAACAGCTCCTCCTCGGCTCTCCCCCATATAGGTGCGGTGTGTAAACGTCGCCACTGGGGCGTGGTTGCTGGCCTGCTTGGCCACTCACCCACCCTCCCCGCCACCCCATTGCGTGCGTCCGTTCCGGCCTTCATTACAGAAGTGCTGTGCCACCTGCACTTACCACAAAAGTCTTGCTTCAAGGCTATCCGGGGGAGCTTTGTCGCTTTTTGTGTGTGGGGGGAGGATGGGCGTGGCCGATGAGGGGGGAGGGGTTGGAGTGGGGGGCTTGTGAGGGGCGGGGCTTCGTAGGGTGGGGGGGGCGCTGTTGCCGATGTGGAGCGAGCGCGCGCGCCGGCGACGATACGGCGCTTCCCATTGGCTGCGGCGGCGTGCGCGCGGATGGTAGGCGGCTCGCGATTGGCCAGCGCGCGGCAGGATTCGGCGCGTGTTGTTGGTGGGCGTGGCCAGCGGCGCGCGCGGGGGGGGGGCTACCCCTCCCCCTCCCCCCTCCCCCCCTCCTCGCGAGTTGTGTAGTCAGGGTTGTAATGGCCGACTGTACAGCGGGTGCCGATGTGAGTGATGTTTGCTACGTGCCGCTGTTTGCAATGCGTTTCTTTCTCGTTTCGGTAGTCTTGTGCGCACGCACGGTATGCGTTACTCGGTTTCGTACAAATGTTTGCTCGTGTCTCCTTGATTTTTATGCGCCTCCGTTGGGCTGTCGGTACAGTTTTGGTGGTTGTTGCGCAGTTCGATGATTGCACGTGTGGTGGTGTGTATGTGTGTGTCAACCCGTCTGGCTACATGTAGGCTTTAGGGTTTTTTTTTATCTCTCTTTAGCACGTGCTCTGTAACGTCCCTCCTTATTTCGTGAAGACTGTACGGCGTTGGTGGCAGGGTGTGCGCTGTTGTGATGCTTCAGTTTGGCGGTGATGTGCACGCAACACACACAACACACCCATTCCTTGGCCGTAAGCTGTCAAGTATTTTTAGTTACACGGGTATATTGCAGCCGGTGCTGTAGTCGTAGGTTTGTGCGGGGTGGGGAGGGGAGCCCGCTGTAATGTAACAATTTAGTGGTAATAAACACTGAACGAACAACACACACGCACAGAGTGGTATTGTCAAATTGTCTCGTTTTAAAATAGCGTGTGGGTGGTTCTAAGTCTAAAAAGTGCGCTATTGTAATGCGCTCACGCACCGTCTCGTTCTTGTGAGTACGAATTTTACACACAATTGGTTGTTGTTGTTGTAGGTCTGTGCTAAGAGCTGTGTTTGTCGCGCCTTTCAACAACCTAGCGTTAATAAATGCACACGTACCCACACAATCTTTGGGTGGACACAAACCATGTCGTTTTGTGAGTACTAATTTTATACGCCCTCTGTGGTGGTGGTGTTTGTTGTTGTAGGTCTGTGCTAAGAGCTGTGTTTGTCCTGCCTTTCAACAACCCAGCGTTAATAAATGCACACGTACTCACACAATCTTTGGGTGGACACAAACCATGTCGTTTTTTGAGTACTCATTTTATACGCCCTCTGTGGTGGTGTTGTTGTTGTAGGTCTGTGCTAAGAGCTGTGTTTGTCCTGCCTTTCAACAACCCAGCGTTAATAAATGCACACGTACTCACACAATCTTTGGGTGGACACAAACCATGTCGTTTTTTGAGTACTCATTTTATACGCCCTCTGTGGTGGTGGTGTTGTTGTTGTAGGTCTGTGCTAAGAGCTGTGTTTGTCCTGCCTTTCAACAACCCAGCGTTCATAAATGCACACGTACCCACACTATTTGGGTGGACGCAAAGCATCTCGTTTTGTGAGTACTAATTTTATACGCCCTCTGTGGTGTTGTTGGTGGTGTTTGTTGTTGCAGGTCTGTGCTAAGAAGTGCCTTGTCAAGTTGTGGCTGCTAGACCCTGCGTGTTAGCCTGGCCGCCGCTGCTGCTACTACTACTGCTGCTGCTTCTATCACCCTGCGCCCTACTGCTGCTACTACTGCTGCTGCTATTGCCAAGCAAGACATCCACACAACCTCAAGCCCGGGCCGTAGCAGCTGTCAACATCTTATTGGTCTTCTCTTCCCACACCTTGGACGTGGAATTCTCAAATAAACAACAACGGAAATTATAAAATCTCTCGCCACTGCAAGTGAAGAGAGGTTGTTGTCAGAAGGTGGGAGGAATTTAATTACTGTGGGCGAGAAGAAAGGAAAGGGGGAGAAAAAAAAGTTATAGAAACGTACAAAAAAATCTCCACTGCCGAGCGGGAAGAGAAAACGTGCAAGAATTTTTGTTTTATATTAATTCTACCTTGAGTCTCACTTGCTCTCCCAGCTCCGTGGGTAGCAAGGGGAGTTTATTCTCAGCCATTGGCAGAGACGGGTGAGTGCATTTCTCCTCCAGCCGCTGTTTACGTGAAAATAATGGGACCGGTTTTAATGTAACTCGACTCACGAATTCGTTCACGTAACACCAGTTATTTTTTCTAAACATGCTGGCAGAGCCCCTGGTTGATAATCCACTGCCCGATGAGGGTCCGTGGCAGGGAGCCATAGACGTTGGAGCATAGTGCAGTATAACTTACCATGGATTTTGGTGATACAGCATCCATCCAGGTGCAAGTTCCAGCTGAGCTTTTTGAGGTGACGAGATAGGGCGTTAGTGATCTTGGTGATTTGGTCTTCGGCCCCTTTCTAAATGTATGACAATTAAAAAAGGCTTTAGTGTAGCTCCTAAAAACGGAAATGGGTATTGTAATCTCCGAAAGACTGTCATCAACTTTGCCGTATCGTTTTGAAATGTTTGGGTAAGCCCTATTTAAATGCAGGGAATTAAACCACCACCATGGTGCAAGATATTTGACGAACCCACCTTACTACCTACAGCTGTGCTCGATTTAGTTATACCTGCAAACATTTTCTTGTTGAAAAGAAATGAACGGCTCCCTTAAACAGATTTACGTATTATTGTTAATACTCCGAGGGGCTTGCTCTCAAGGCAGCCTTAGATGAAGAACATGTGACAGTATTTCGCTGCTAGTGGTTAAAGACCAGGCAACTAACTGCTCTATAGCCACCTTTTAACATTGCCATTATGTTGCGGTGTTGCAACTGTGTTTATCAAAAGCAGACGGACCAATAAGCTACCTCTGCTGGGTGAGGTTCTACGGTGATTTTTATTGTTTTGGGAAAATGAAACGCTCTGAGGTTTTAGACCTTGTCAGACCTGTTGCACTCATTGGTTTATATTCTCATTTGTGAAGAACGGTGGGTTTGGAACCATCACCAGATACAAACGCACTCCTCTGCTAAACCGCTGAGGTGGATTGCCCTTGATTAGATTGAAACAAATGACATTTTAACCTGCATTTTTACGTTACTCGTTTGGTTAATTAAACTTTGTTCACTAACGAGCCATCCATTTAGTATGTACACATGGAGGGGGGGGGGGGTTAACCCAAATGCGTACGCTTGTGTATGGGGGGGGGGTCTACTGACAATTTGCGCATAGGAAACGGGGGGGGGGGGGCGGCGAAGCCTCGATAATAATTTGTCGACATTGGCCTTCAAATGAGCCACAGTTCAGTTTCTCCAGCTGTCAGACGACAAATACTACGGGAGAAGTGGGACTGTGGGAGAGGTTTCACTCGTGTGCCACCGTGCCCCTGATTGCAGCTGTCACGCAGCTCAGCAAAATAAGTGGCCAAGGTACGCAACTTAATTCTTTAATTCAGCTGGCGGTGGATTATTTGTTTGCTTAAACACGTCATTATTAATCCTTCATCGTTTCTGCGTGTATTAAATATCTGCTGTTCTATAGGATTCGGGGGGGGGGGGGTGCGTCAAGCGTACATACGCAGGTGGGGGGGGGGGGGGTCAAGTTTTGACGGATTTTTGCGTACTTACCAAATGGATGGCCCCAAGATCGGTTTAATGTTCCCACACGTGAAAAGGGCATTATGTAGTCCTGTCATGTGTGTGTGTGTGTTATCTGTTCCATCTGCCAGGGCTTTCACCGATTTCAAGATAGATCTATCAGAGTGCAGGGGTGGGTGGGGGGTATAACAGTCAGGTGTTTATCTGTGTTGGTGTGCACTCTAAATAATTAATTTATAGCCATTTCGGTATTTGAAAGCTATTAAAATGAACTGTTCAGTATCTCGCAGAATCTCACAGCTGTAATATACGTCTCGAAAATGGCTTTAGGGAAATGCTCTATCTGACAGCTGATATCTCGTGGTGTATTCCTTTGTTTCAGGGTACTATGTGCCACACAATACTTATTATAATAAAATAATATCTAAATGATGATAAAAAAATAATTGCTATATAAATAGTATAATAACACAAGATGACTAGTGGAAGTAAAGTATAGTCATTGTAACGCTCGCCCATGTGATGGCGTGTTGCTGTAGAGATGTATGTTATTGGCGTTCTCTCCTCTTAGTAATCTTAATCAAACACAAAATAAATTTACTAGCAGGCATACAGCCCTGTTGAGTTTAAGCTCTGTGGCTGTTTGCAATTAAAGATAATTGCTGTGCTTTTTTTAAAAGGTGTTTGGGCAAAATTCTTCACATGGACATCACCGCACTTGATAAGCCTTAAAAAAAAGTGAACGTGTTTATACATTTAACAAAAAATATGTTTTTTTAAATATCTATTTGCCTTCCATGTAAATCATCGACAGCATTTTTGTAATAAAACAAGCTTTTGGTATAAGGCTCGCTAAACAAATGCTGCTGGTTTTCCAGAGGCTATTGGTTAAGAGCATTCCCCTTAAAACCATGGGGCCCTATCAGCGCAAAAAAGCAATGTATAACTGTTGATGTTAATTTATTTAATTGCTCAGAATGTTCCATGTCTGCACTTAAAAATAGGGGGGGTGGGGGGGGTCCAGAAAAGGTTAGGGATAATGTTTGGCTATTTCCAGAGCAGTAGTATTTTACATAACAGCCATCCAGATGTCGTAAATATGTTGATAGTTTCTGTCTTAAATGCACTAATGTATTAGTTGGAATATATTTATAATAACCTCTCTCCACGCATGGTTATAGCTCACCCATGATTCACACGATTAATAATAATAATCTCCCCTTTATTTACCCAGAAAAGAAGCCCTGACCAGATCTCTATTCATGTTTGGCGAATTATGTCAAGTTTTGGGCTTCATGTGGGAGGCAAATCCACCATGCATCCACCATGCATGTGAGGGGGTAATTTATACTCGAGGTCCACACCAATAGATTGAGGAATGCATTTCTGTACTGCCATCATCTGGCCATCTGGCAGCTCCAGTCCCGCCTACACCGGATATTTTCAAACTGTCAAGGCCACACCAGTACTCAATTTGCTTGGGCTTTCGAAATCTGATGGATCCGAGGCATTCAGGGTGATTTGGTCTTGAACACGATGCTACACCACACCCACCCCCTAAAGGGATCAAAAACAACATCTGACTGGTAGACGCATTGCTTTTTTTAGAGCAGCAGTTTGTTTCACGTAATTGCTTCAGAAACATGTTCTGCCCATGCCGCAAGTGGGCTCCATTCTATGCTGGTTTTGCGCAATACAGTGGCTTGCAATACATTGGCTTCCAAATAGAGCCATATTTCCAGATATTGGAACTTTCATAATGTGACACTGGTTCCCAGCTGCACTAAAATAAAAGGCTATTAACACCCGCGTTATAAAATGCTCTGGGAACGTGGCCAGTGGCCATGTGATGCCGAACTTTACTTTGTTCTGCCGTCCTGCATGATATAAAAATGTGACTTTCAAAGTGTAAAATGAATGTTGAACTTTTTTTCCCCGTGTACATTTTGTATGTGTTTTCCCCGCAGTCTCCAGCGTCGTCATATTTCTTGCACTTAACATGCTGTTTTCTAGGTATGTAATGATGTAACCCCTCCCCGCTAAGGATTCGATGAATTGTCATCTCGATTTAGTTTTGTAATTTGATTAGTGTTCTTAGAATAGTGTTCATGGTCTCTCTTGTGTTGTTTCTAGTTTCCTCTTCTCATTTATACAGTTCACTTGTTTAGCCCAAACGTAACATCAGATAATTTGTACGCTTCAGAAATCGCAACTGATTATTAAACGCACAATTTAATGCATGTATTATCAGTAGAACGATATTAAGTGACGAATAAATGCACAGTTTAACGACACTTATATTTACGCAATCTAACCCACAAACCTCTTATGGATAATTTCGGTCGCGAAAGCCTACGTGTTAAACAAATGCAACAGTTTCCATCTTTACACTGCAAAATCTTACATCCGTGCATCGAGTTATTGATTTCAAAAACACAGTACACTCATCTTCTTGGTTCTTTCGGTAAAGTCACGTAGCATGGAAATAATAAAATAATAAAAATAAAACATAAAATAATTATCACGACGTTTCGGCCACAACGCAAGCAGCTGTCCTCAGGTGAAGAACAGGTCTGTCGAGAAGACAGAGTCTGAATGACACCCCAGGCTTGGAGCGTCTATTTAAGCTGGGAGGGAGGACGTGACTTTACCGAAAGAACCAAGAAGATGAATCCCTGCAGTCACGAAAGCTTTAAATCGAAACAGTACACTCAGTTTCGTTTTCATGTGGCTGAACGAGCCTTCGCCATGCGCGCGCGCCGTCAACGTTTTCTACCTCTCCCCACGAAGGCAAGGGCCAGACAGCACGATGGCCGTGCGGGACACGCGATGGTTGACGCTGGAGGTGTGCCGGGAGTTCCAGCGGGGCACGTGCAGCCGCGTGGACACAGAATGCAAGTTCGCCCACCCACCAAAGTCGTGCCAGGTGGAGAACGGCCGTGTCATCGCCTGCTTCGACTCGCTTAAGGTCAGCGCGACCGCCTGTTGCCCGCCGCTTTGCCTTTGTATCGTTGCCGCACGGCTGCACCCCCCCGCCACCCGCTGCCGATGGAGCAGAAGGCGCTGAGATGTTTCTTCAGAGAGTGAGCCTGCTTGCTGGGTGTTGGCCTGGACTGTTTTTTGTCGTGCGTGTTGAAAACCACCATCCACAGGGGGGGGTATCGACCTTAGCTTGACACCGTATGCGGTGTTGTGCGTTCTGGAAATCTTGGACAGACCAATTTATGGCGAGTAACTCCGGAGCTGCTGAGCTTGCACGAGGATGTTGGCAGCACTCCCTTTGAGGGGCTCCATAGGTTTCTAGGTCAGCTCAAGAGCTTCACTTTTTTTAGTGTTTAATGGCCCCAAAGTGTGTTGTCTGTCACAAAATCTCATCAAATGAAGCCCTGCAGAATCATTAAACTTGCGATTAAGCAGAACACTGCCGGCACAAGCGAGGTTCGTATGGGTAGAAGGGGTGTGGTGTCAAACTCATAAAAATCTTTAATCAAACCATTAATCAAGTCCAGGCCTAAAATTGCTTCTGGGAGCTTCATTGCTAGAGATCCCACATGTAACTGCTGTTGGTCACACACAACACGAGCATTGTTTTGCATTTAAATTATGGAGTGTACATCACGTTGGCCACGAATTGGTTGACCCGAACAGCCAGACACAGACATTGGGGGGATTAAGGACTGTGAAGCCAGCTGACAAACTGGTTTGGGATGTGGTACATCTCTAATATTTTGTGGTAATGCCTGTCTTGTTTTTATTATATGCATACCACAGTCCTTACTCGTTCCGGGCAACCTTATTCGGGATATATTTTGTACAACGAGAATGAAACTTCATTTATAATTCAGGTTTCTGTTGGCTGAAAGTGTGGTGTGAGCACTGTGTGTGTTGAGAGCCAGCATGCTGGACCATGCAGAGTTTGTTTCTGGGTTTGTCCTCAATTATGGAAAGCGAGTGATGTGGCACACTAACCTACATTTACGGAGAGCAAGAAAACATTTGAAAGTTTCAGACGCTTCCCAGGATGCGGGGCATTGCGACGTGTTTGCCGAGATCCTTTTAATTTGTCAGTTATGTAAGAAGTTTGCAAGCTACCATTATTGATTCAGCATTGCCAGCCACTTTTAAAATTTGTATTGTCCTGCATGGATATAAGTTATATCAGTTTGTGTATAACTGCCATTGTTTGCGATCTAAATACGCATTTTTTTAATTTACACTTGATTGGACATTGAATATATAATTATCATGATCATCAAAATTGACAGCATTTTGTCAATTAACTGATGGATGAAAGCTTCATCACACCACATAAGTCGTCGGGGTTATTTGACCATGCTTCACCATGCTGGTTAGTGCGAGTGTGTGAGGGGGGCACCGAGGGCAAGATAATATTTCACTCGGCCGTGGTTGGGCTAGGTCACCTGGTTTAAAGTGCAGTGCGCTAGCCACCGCTGTCACCCCATTGAGAATTTATACCCGAGGGCAAATGTATGAAACATGCTAATGACATGACGTGTGATGGGCAGATACAATGAGTATTCCCATTACGCCCCGTGTAATTCTCTGAATAATAATTAATGTTTCCCAATGAATGTCATTTCCCAAGGGTGAGCATACTACACGTGTATCATTACCTTCTCAAGATTCCACAATGAGCCAAGAATCGAACCACATTTACTGGTCGTTTCATGAACACGGGCATTTAACTTTTTGCGCGTTTTTGTTTTAAAGTCTTTCTCGTGAACTTGTTTTTCCAATGCCGTTATCGTTCTTGCATGAGGCCCACATGCCATTACGCACGAGTTAGAATGTGTGGTACATACCGATCGGAAGCCTCGAAGGTAAACATGATGTGACATTGTAAATTAGAAATGGTGTCATAAATTAAACATTAAGAAAGCACATCTCATCCTGCGAAGCAATTTGCAGAGCAGAAATTAAAAGAATGCATTGCGAGCATGCAAAGTTGTGTTCCAGTCAGGTTAGGTTTCATGTGGTACAGTATATGTTTACATATAAAAATCTAATTTGGCTTTATATGTATGTTATGCAACCTAGTCATGAATGTTGTTGTGGCTGACATTATTTTGTTGTTATGCGAACAAAACTTGAATTGTACGCAAAGACAAGAATGTGCATACACAAGCCCTCAAGCAGTTACATAATGGGAAAGCTGAGTTTGTATTCTGGAGAAATGTTAGACATCGTTTCTTATCAGATGCATTTACTTCACATTCATTGGAATGTCCACAAAAACAAGTATAAGTTTACTGTCACAGTCACTGAAAGGGGCCAAAATAATTTGCTGTGTTTTGCTGGAAATTAACAAATAGAAAAAAATAGTTGAGTTTCTAGTGGAGGGAGCTCTAGAGCGGTGAGATTACCCACACAGTGCCTTGTGACCTCTTGGTGAAAGGCGTTATAGAAGTGTAAATCATTATTATTTACCCCACAGCATGCTGTCTGCCGATTAACTAACTGGCGAACCCATTTTCACAACTGGGTGAACGGTGGCGGGGATGTTATTTTAGAAACTTGCAACATTGTTTCAACTGCCGTGCCGGGTTGATGACGAGATGTTAACTACCTTGCCTTGTACGCAGAAGGTCATGTGTTCGATCCCGACCCTGTGACACCTGTATATTTGGAGGTTACGCGTTTTTACCCGTGGTCGTGTGGAGTTTTCTCCGGGTCCTCCGGTTCTTCCCTCCACAATTAGAAACATGCGTTTAAGAGTGTTTGGCTGCTTTAAATTTCCACACCTAAAGCCGCTTCGTTGAGTAATCATTTGTTGCCAGGTCGCTTCTGAAAAAGAACTCTATAGCTCGGTGGGCGTTACCTGGTAAAATAAAAAAAAGAGTTTAGTTGAGAACTGGGATGCTGCTGCAGCAGCATCCTGTGTACAGTGCATTCTGCCTTTTCATGGTCGATGCCAACGGGTTCCTTATCCAACGAAGCAGCACGCTGCCTGTGGGTAAAATTTGATGCGGCTCATTGCCACATTTTTGGAAAAGATGCCAGCGGCGAAACCCAAGCGGTGGCTGGATCTTTTTTTTTGTGCCGCATGTGATGCAATAAATTGTATTGCTCAAACTCGTGATGGCATTCGCGTTAAACTGCTCCATTTTGTCGCTGCCAATTGTTGCCCCATGCAACCGTTTGTGCTTCGCGAGCCCTCGTACGTGTTGCACACTGGCGAAAATTTCGTGGGTAGAGAGATAAAAAAAACTTATATAATAACTGACCCCATGCAAATGTGATTTGAGAAAAAAAACACTTAAATTATAGTCTCTAATCTTATCTTCAAAAGAATGCTATGCAGCTTCCTGTAAAAGAAAATGATGGCTTCTATTTTTTAAAAGTCTTTAAATAACTTGTTTACACGGAGCTGTATGACCATCTCTAGTGGAACACGAGGGTCCCTGGGAACATTACATTTGTAATTTAGACTGTGAAAGAACCACGTGATGATGTGGCAAAGGGCGTTTTTAGCTGATGAGGGAACAGGGGCAGCAGGGGAGAGCCAGGGGACTGGTGTGGCAACCCTTTGGCTCGGATGCCAACACATCAACACTCTGTCACTCTGCTAACCCAAGAAGATAGGTCCAGACACAGACATTCACTGTCTTGACCTAAGTAACCCAGTTCTCCTTGGACTGGCCTCTACCTATTTCTCTCCTCTTCATCTCTCGCTGATCCCATTCACGCACTCTCTCCTACCTCTCCCGTCTGATCTCGCTCTACTCCCCTCCACGCAAGTTCCGTTCTAGCGACAAATAATTTTTATCGAAGCCCCCACTCAACGTTCACTCAAAGGGAAGTTGCTCATTCTCTTTTGCTGCCCCTATAAGTCTGGAGCTCGCTTCATTCAGCCAGCCGTGCTGTTGACTTCCTGCCCCTGTTCCAAGTCCTTTTTAAATCCTTTATATTAAGTTCGCTTGCTTGCGTGCTTGCTTGCTTGCTTACGACCGTGCAAACCTTTCGGTCGTTTTTTAACCCACTTCCCGTGATCCAATCGAGCTGACATTTTGCACACAGACTCGTTGTGCGAGACAATTAATGTTCGTAAAATTTTTTTTCCAAAATTTTACACTGTTTAGGGAAAACAAATTAAATATTTAATTACCAATTGTTTAATACTACAGACAATCATCTCAAGCCAGAGGACGAGAGCACTCGAGCCGCCACGCATATAAAGGATTTAGAGTGAAAAACTTAGTTTTTACGGGTTATACTTATTTTAATCTGCCCATGACTGTCTGTCTCCCTATAAAATAAATATGCCTACTGGTTTTTTTTTACACCGTGCTGAGATGTGGTCTTATTTAGATGTGCTATTTATACTAGTGACCTGACTCAACAGAGAAGATATGATCAGACACTTTACATAAACCATGTATTTTTGGCTACGTGTTGTGTGTTCATAGTTTGGGTTAATGTTAGGCCCAGCAACTGAATTTGAATGCAGGCACTTAAATATACGCATGTTTTTGTTTGTGATCAATCAGGTCAAATTATAATGACAAGATATGATGTAATTAGTGCTCATAAATGATTTAGGAATTCCATTCGTTAAATAAATTATCCTTTCCTTCTAAATGTAAGAGGACCAGACATCGAATACCTCATCTCCCAGAACACATTTCCAATGAGTAGTATGACACTATTGACATGAGGAATTGTCTTTTTTAAAAATCCTTTATATTAAGTTCGCGTGCTTGCTTGCTTGCTTAGGACCGTGCAAATCTTTCGGTCGTTTTTTAACCCACTTCCCGTGATCCAATCGAGCTGACATTTTCCACGCAGACTCGTTGTGCCAGACAATTATTGTTCGTGAAAAAAATTCCCAAAATTTTACACTTTTATAGGCAAAAAAAAATGATTTTACATATATTCAAATAGAACGCATTCATGGCTTTGGCTGAACGTCAGAGTGTAAGAGCCCAGAGCGTAACCCCTCCACAGGCC